CAGTACCAAATCCAATGTGGCCTCGCCTCTTGTTGGCCTATCTACATGATTTGTAAGACATGATTTCCCATCACAAAGCCATGCTAGAGCTTGAAGCAGAGTTTGCATCTCAATCAGAGTAAACAGTTTTATAGCTTTTAAAATTTTTTCATGGGATGTGAGTGTGAATGCCTTTTTGGCCCATCCCTAACTATCCTTGAAAATGCGATGGTGACCTCCTTGAATTGCTGTGGTCGATGTGGTGCAGGTATACCCACAGAGCTCTTAGAGAGGAAGTTCCAGGACTTTGACCCCACTGCAGTGGAAACAATGTCAGGATGGTGTGTGGCTTGGAGAGGGCCTTACAGATGATGGTGGTCGCGTGTCAAACAAACAGAATGCTGGACATGCTCAGCAAGTCTGGCAGCATCTGTGGAGAGAAAATCAGTGTTAACATTTCAAGTATGATATGAGTTTTCCTCAGAATTGGAAAGTGTCGGAATTTCATTTACATACTTTTTGACAGAGTTGAGAAGGGGCAAAAGGAACAGATGGTTTAGAGGACCAGTGTAAAAGACAAAGGAGATGTTAATGATGTAAAAGAAATGAAAATGTAAAATGGGTATAAATGAAGGTGTGTAATGGACAGAATGAGTCACTTTACTGACAGCAAAGTAAACAAGGCACAAATAAGACAAGAACAGAAATTGCTGGAAAATCTCAGCAGGACTGAAGGAGGGTCACTGGACTTGAAACATTAATTCTGATTTCTCTCCACAGATACTGCCAGTCGTGCTGAGATTTTCTTCTCTTTTTTTGTTTCTGATTTCCAGCGTCTACAGTTCTTTCGGTTTTTTTGACAAATAAGGTGTGTGTGCATGTGCGCGGGTGCGTGTGCACGCTTGTACGTGCATGCATATGCATGTGCATGTGTGTATATGTATGATGAAAGAATTTAAAATAAATGAAAACCAGTCATCATGCAGTCAGGCTCTGAAGTTGTGGAATGCAATATTTAGACCTCGGGGTTGTAAACTGCCTCAGTAGAAAATGGGGCGGTATTCCTCGAACTTGCTTTGTACTTCTTTAGAGCACTGCAGCAGGCCCAGGATCAAAATATTATCATTGGCAAGGTTTATTGAAATGGCAAACCTTTGTATTTTACACCGAGCCTCTATAACAACTGTTCCCTATGTTTTATGATGTGGAGATGTCAGTGTTGGACTGGGGTGGACAAAGTTAGAAGTCACACAACACCAGGTTATAGTCCAACAGGTTTATTTGAAATCACAAGCTTTCAGAGCGTTGCTCCTTCGTCAGATGACCAAATAAACCTTTTGGACTCTAACCTGGTGTCATGTGACTTCTCCCTTTGTTTTAGGATGACACTTTAGGATGTCAAAGCTTTAAGGTGGATGCAGGGTTAGGTTACCAAAATAGCAACAGTGGACAGGACATTCAGTTACGTGGAGAGACTAGAGAAGCTGGAGTTGTTCTTCTCCAAGCTTACAAGGTTAAGAAGAAATTTTCTAGAGATATTCAAAGTCATTTCGATAGTGTGAATTTAATAACTTTTTTGAAAAGAAATTGGACAAGTAGTTGAAAGGTAAAAAAATTGTGTAGGTATGATGAAAGAGCAGGGAGGTGGACCTAATTCCATCAAACAAGAGATAAGGATGTGGGACTAACCATAAAGTTTGAACGGCCTTGTCCTAGAGTCAAAAAGGTCTACAGCATAGATAAAGGCCTTCAGCCATTGAGTCTGTAACAGTCAAAAACAGGCATTTAACTATTCTAATCCCATTTTCCAGCATTTGGCCCATAGCCTTGTATGCTTTGGCATCGTAAGTACACATCTAAATATTTCTAAAATATCATGAGAGTTTCTGTCTCTACCACTCTCACTGTCGTAATAATACTTAATCGGAGATCATAAATTGTTGCTAGCAAAGGATATTAAGTAATATGGAACCAAGATGGGAGGATGGATCAGTTCGTCCTTGATCAATATGAATAGTAGAACTGGCTGGAGGCTTGGAATAGATGGTCGTGTTTCTATCCTGTTCTTTGAAATGTATCCAACTTTGACATCTGAACCGACAGAGCTTCAGTTTAAGCATCATCTCATATCAACAGAGTCTTAGGGATGTCCAGCACGGAAACAAACCCTTTGGTCCAACTTGTCCATGACGACCAGATATCCTAGATAAATCTAGTCCCATTTGCCAGCATTTGGCCCATATCCCTCTAAACCCTTACTATTCATATACCCAACCAGAATAGATACTGCACCGAAATGTCAGCTGATTCCTGCAGTAAAGCATTAAACTCTAATCTTCTGAGTCAAAAGCTACACAAAGCCAGCCAACAATGTCATTGGAATAATGCTGTATATTCATTGACCTGATGATGACCTATGTATTCATTGTTGCATGGAATTCTGCCGACTGGTTACTAAAGCTGTTCATTTGGGAGAAATATCCGCAATGACAGGAGTTAACACCAGATACTCCAGTAATTTCCTAGATGACTTGATAACTGCATAATTACAGATATAAATGTGTACGCGTCAGTCTGGTGCTACATGTTTGAAAGTTGATACCCAAGGTCTGGGACCACCACAAAATTGTTGCTTAGTACTTTTGCCACTCTGTAAACAATTATTTCACTGCATTCCACAAAGACTAGTATGAAAAGTTTTAGAGTGCTTAAGGAAATGTCAATGCTTACCTTTACTACAACAGCAACAACAACAAAAACAAAGTTGCTGGAAAAGCTCAGCAGGTGTGGCAGCATCTGTGAAGGAAAAATCAGAGTTAACGTTTCGGGTCCAGTGACCCTTCCTCAGAACTGATTGCGGCTGGGAAAACATTACAATCAGTTCTGAGGAAGGGTCACGAAGCGTTTAACTCTGTTTTTTCCTTCACAGATGCTGCCTGACCTGCTGAGCTTTTCCA